TATCCTTAAATTATTTTATATTTACAAAAAAAATTATATAATTAAAATTTCATATGAAGTTCATGGGTTAAATAAAATTTTACCATTTCATTAAACCTTTTTATATTTTTAATTTTGTAAAAAAATTATATAAATTTTATGAATTTAATTTTTTTAAAGAAAATATATAAATATTTTTTAACTTGTTAAAAAATAAATATATAATAAGGACAATTTGGTCAAATATACATTTAAATAATCTTTTATTCCTTTAATCAAACATGGTAATCTTACATTTTTGCTAAACTAACCAAACACAAAATACAACATTCTCTGATAATTTTTTATTCTCATTAATAATCTTACATTCCATGAATCAAACGCACCTTTAAATCTAAACAAAGTCCAAAGAACCCATGTGTATATTTATATACATAAAAGCTTTTATGGTATAGACAAATCTTTGCTTAAAGTACACGTTCTGAATTGTCTTGTCATGCCAAGACTTTAAACAGCTAACCTTTGCTCCCTAAATAACCCAATGATATGCCCATGGCATGGCTTCCCAGTTTTTGAAGTCTTTGTATCATCAAGTGATTGGTAGAATGGTAATCTTATTTTATCTCATGGCTGGTGGATTCTTATAACAAATTCTGGCCCAATTCTTTCCCTAAGACAGGTTAGATCCTAAAGGGTATACTTTAAAATATATTAAATGAGTTCGAATAATAACATTGTAAACAAATTAGGATCTGGTTTTCATTAGAATATCTAGTTTAGATGAATCGATTCTAAGTAGTTTTGGGAGGGAGAATAGGAAACTTACTTTGTATATAAAATATACATAAATAATTCGTCACAATTTACTACTAAACACGAGTTTTGACCCAGCATTAATGTGTAGTGGGGCAAGCATGCAAGGAGTGGAAATAACAATCAAAGCTGCTAGCCCAAAAGTCAAATTCATTAAGACCAAAAATACAAGCCCGTGATATGTCTATATGCTATAATTTTACATCAACATACATGGTGAACACATTTTACAATTGTAACACCCATTCCCCGTATACCCTTCTGTACACGAAATATATATGTCACATTACTCTTAAAATAGTTCTTCATTTGAAAATTTCAAAAATATTTTTTTTCTTTTCTGAAAACATAACATTTTAATATGAAACAAAACATTGATTTTAAACTGTTATAAGTTCTACTTAATTAAAATTAAAAACATTTAAATATTGTGATTACATGCCAACGAATTCCCCCCCCCCAAAAATAAACTAGATTTTCTTGGTGTCACGGATGAGTCCACCTTAATTGATGATCACCACAGCTACAAAAAACACTCCTTACTTAGTTAATCTTTGCTTTTACCTACGCGTGAGAAACAACACATGTTAAGCAATTACTTAGTGATATATATAAATAAAGAACATTCAAGGATACATAAGTATCTCATAGTTATTTGACTTCAAACTACGTTATAACATCCATAGGAATTACCTAATCCATTCTTATCATAACCAAACCTTGGTCATATTATCCTCATAACCATCTTTAGTATGTCCAACATACTTCTCTTTAGTTCATTAACTTCAATTTAGGTATCTTTTCACGTATTAACACATCCATTTATACATTTAAATTATGACATCCTTTTATACCTTAATGCATCCTTTCATGCATTTTAATTATGACATCCTTTCATGCCTTAATGCATCCTTTCATGCATTTTGTTTATGGCATCCTTTCATGCCTTAATACATCCTTTCATGCATTTTAGTTTATGGCATCATTTCATGCCTTAATGCATCATTTCATGCATTTTAGTTTATGACATCCTTTCAAACTTTAATGCATCCTTTCATGCATTTTAGTTTATTGCATCCTTTCATGCATTTTAGTTTATGGCATCCTTTCATGCCTTAATACATCCTTTCATGCATTTTAGTTTATGGCATCCTTAATTATGGATTCGATTTAGGGCAATTCATACTCTAAAACTCATTCATAATCTTATTTCCATACATATAATGATATCATAATCACTATTATAAACATATATAAATTTAAAGCATACTAAATTGAATATTCTTCATCTCGCATACTTATATTAAAGTACTCACCTGGCTTGCCTCGTTTTGGTATCCAATATGTAAAGTTGATTACTCCGGAACTTGGCCTTTGCCTTTTGCTTTACTTGATTCAGGAGCTTGATTTCGATCTATATAATATCCATTAAATACATGTTCAATATCAATTGTTAGTATATCTCCTAACAATTACACTTAAATATTACTCAAAAGCACCTATTAACAACTTTTCCCAGCAATATCAGCCTATTTTAAAATTTATGGCTCCTCATTATCGATACCCTTACTATGGTATTGATACTACCATACTATAGTACCGATACCCTATTATGGTATCGATACCATTTTTGCATTCTGTTTTGAAATGGTATCGATACCTTCCCTTCGGTATTGATACGCTCTTTTTGGTATCGATACTAATTGAATCAATATTGATACAACTTAGCAAATTCCTCACATTTTAGCCTATAGTATCGGTATTGTTCTATCAGTACCGATACCAGTGCCCAAAATTTCCAGTTTTCAACCCGATTTTCACCCAAATAGGATTAAATTTCGTTATACTAACACCATATAATACTACTAAACTCTTCTTTAACTGTCCATACTAATATTCCTTCATCTAACCTCTTAAAACATCTAAAATCTTTCAAGAACATTAAATTCTAAGAATCACACCATTTTTCCTAGTATGTTCTTAATCATATCCAATGCTTCTAATCTCTTATTTACCTCTTTGACAAGTCAAATCTACCAGAAAACATCAATAACCACTCATATATTAACATATCTTTTCAAAACCCATTTTCTAAAATCTCCATTATTTTCACCATTTCTTAGTTTTAATCTCATTAAATCCTTCCTAAGCTTCTATCATACTCAAATCTTCAACAACCAACCTAAAATGAAAGAATACACCATCAAATTGAAACCTCACCTTTAACTAGGGTTGAGAACTTCTTACGTGAAAAAGGAAGAAGAAGAGAGAGTTGACCTTGCTTGATCCCCTTTTTCCTTATTTCTTTACTTAATATACTATGTAAAATGAATTTTAAATTCATTTTATTCCAAATACCTAAAAATGCCCTTTTTAATCCTTCATCACTACAATTTAATCTAAACTACTACTCCCAACTAATTCTCATTTTTATCAATTAATTAATTTAGTCCTCCAAATTTTTAATTCTTTTCAATTTAATCACTGACCTATTATTTGGGGTATTATAACAATAGTTGCATCAACCAAAATGAAAGCTTCAAAGTTTGAAACTATCTGGATTGATAGTATTATTTCGTACCTCCACATGCAGGTCAAACAATGCTCGAGCAAAATTCACTATCTGCAAAATGAATAATAAAAACAGATGTTAATGAATCATGCCTATGGTGAGGCATAATTCAGATCACATCCGGCAACATGGGTGGCAAAAGGAACAATGTCAACTTGTAGATTACCATGAGGCAAAAGCAAGATAACCTTTTTCTTTCTTTTGTTTGGTGCAAAGGCTAAAAAAATTATGACTCCAAACCTAATAAAAAGCCACCACTGAAGAGGGATCAAATAAGAAAGGTGACCATTTTTAGATGGGATCAAGTGACGAGCCAACAAGTACAATTTTTATTTGTAAATCAGCTTAAAATGAAAGATTACTATCAATGCAAAACAACAGCTATCAATAAGAGAGAACCAAGAAAATTCAAATCAAATGGGCAAGCTAAGTAATGACATTTTAAGATACGAATGAAGTAGAAAGACTCAATATGATAGTTCAAATATCCATGAACAATCACACGACCTGAAGAACATCAGCAAATATCTGCATCAGTCTTAATATAATTTACGGTAAATTACGTGTTTAGTATCTAAACTATCAGTTTCGATCCGTTTTAGTTTCTAAACTTTTAATTTTTTCCAAAATCATGCCTAACGTTTAATTTTTGTTTCGTTTTAATACCTCGCCTGTAACGACACTGTATTTCTATGGGTAAATTACATCATTCATCGCTCAACTATCTTCTCACTTCTATTTTGATACTAAAGTTTAAAAATGTTCAAATTAACTGCTTAACTTTCAAATTGCTCCTATTTTAATCACTCTAATTTATTTTATCAATAATTCTTGTGACATCACATTTTTTTATGATTTTATTAATGTATAATTAAAAATAAAAAAATAAAATTGAAAGTTAAAGTAATTAAATTAGGAGTAATTTGAAAGTTAAGTAATTAAATTAAAAATTTAAACTTTGGTGACCAAAATAGGAGTGAAAAGATAATTAAGTAATAAATAATATAATTTACCCATAAAAAAGATATCACATGCAAATTACAACCTAACAAAAAAAAATACTAAAACGAAACAAAAACTAATCATTAAATATAATTTTTAAAAATTAAAAGTTTAAATACCAAAACTAATAATTTAGGTACTAAACACATAATTTATCCTATAATTTATCAATAAATTTAAAGTCATAAACTTTTAGAAATGGGGTATTTGCTTTATTATTCAATGCCTCCAGATAGTGAAATCCACTTGTCCACAATTATTTACACCGTTCAACCCTAAAGCTCTTGAAAAAACAATTAAAAGAACATCTGTATGTATTGCACATTTCCAAAAGCACAATTAGCCAAAAAAGCCACTTATAACCAATCAATCTACACGATTAAAAATAGTTATCCTGAGAATTACTAAGACACTAAGGCTGTATCCACATTATAAACACTTCAGTAGTTGGTACCATTGCCAATTACTGCTATACATCTCCAAGCATTAATCACTTGAATCAAAGGTGTCCTTCAACAAATTATGATTATCAGGCTCAAGAACCAGTCTCTTTGTCCACATTCATGTCTTTTTCATGAAGTAGAATCACATAAATCAAAGGCCATCTATCACAAAAGTCAAACTTTCACCCCTTGAACATATTCAAGACTTCAACATCAGAAATATCAACTTGAAAATCTTCAAAATGAGAAGCATGTATCTCTGGAGAAGCCGGCATTATTGCCACACATTTGAACTGTTTCCATTGAAACCAATATTTTTCCAACAAGGTTTATATCTCCACAACAAGCCATTATAAATTATAACATAAACGCCTAATAATACAAGAACACACCTTATGCTGCTTGTATTTATCTCTAGCTGCATGAAGTGCACCTCCTCTTCTACTCAAATACAAATCATGTATGATAAGGACACAGTCTTTTAGATCAGATGCTTTGTAGCCTGAGTGCTGTTGCAGGGCAGAGCTCTGCAGAACACAAATGATATGTTAATATTTACTAGCTATGGGCAAATAAAAAAAGCCATAGAGGGTAATGAGAAAAGAAACTCATACCCAAGTATGTTTCTTTGGTCTAATTATAAATCTTGAAAGGAAGATAACAGAAGCAGCAACAATGGATGGTAAAAATTTTACATATCCATAATCCAACAAACTCAATTCCGCAAGGTAACACCCAAGGAACTCTAGCTGCAAGCTGGAAGGCTATAAAAGACCAAAAGGAAGCGTACAGTCAATAACAGATAACAATGGAATTGGATTTTATAACAACTACAGAAGATATAGGTGCTTTTCTTTCTTTGTAATCTTCTTGAGCAACTCTAGTAATTCTCCTGAAAATCACCACATAAAACACAACGCAAAAGTCAGATTAACAAAACATTAACCTTTTAACAGTTGCCATTAGATATTCCTCGTCCACACAAATATACTTCCCATAAACTCTTACCTCAAAAATGTTATAACTGTAGGATTGCCTAGTTCAAACTTCAAGGACTTGAGTATGCCTGCCTCCATTTTCACCACCTTCATGTTTAGCCAACAATATTCAGTGATTGAATGAAGCAATGTACTATGAAACGCAAAAGAATAAAGGTGAACAAGTAGAAAGAAAGGAAATATTACCTGATCTTTTGTGTATGCAGTATTCGTTATATAGCAAAAATCTTCCACATTTGGTGGATTGATTTCCTCATACTTTCTGCTTGAAACAATTAAAACAAGCAAGAAACGAAAAAGAAAGTAAGTACACAGCATTAACAATGATTTCATACAAAGGAAAAACCAAAAAATATCAATGAATTCAGAAGCTTACGAGGCAATGAGCATTGAAGATACGTCCAATAGTTGAAGTCTCTGCCTATTGAGAGGATTTAAAGATAAGAATCTATCGATGTAGGAAACAGTCATATACAATGTATCTTAAACAAGCTTGTATTCCCCTGCAACTTCCACTAACCAATCCACCAAAATGGCTCTCATGTTGGTACTAACATCATTCTGCACCTTCTCAATATAATCAGGTAAAGGTCTCCATCCACCTAATATTAATTGCATCATCAAAAAATATCACTTAAGTGACTTGTGAAGAAATCCCACTATAAATTAACAAGCTATTTGAAACCCAACTCCCCCAATTCAATTACCAAGCCAGATAAAATAGCTAAAAGCGAGGGAGAGGGAATACCTCCATTTGATGAAGATATTCATAGATATGAGATGCATAATACCCACACATTTGTGGGTCATCAGACACAACACCAACATCCAACTGTTTTTCATCTTCAGTGTTCTCTTTTGCCTCCTTCAAAAGCGGCCTTACCACACTAGGCTTTGTCTTCGCCTTTTCCTTAGGATGCAGTTTCTGGGTTTTTTTCTTCCCTTGAATCGTATTCATCGAACCAACAATTTCAGTGAAATTCGAAATCTCTCCTAAAACAAACCTTTTCTTGTTGGTAACATTCTCCTCGGTTATCCCCGCCGACTCGGCAGCCCTCTTCTTGGCAGCCGCCCTTGTCACTCTATGGCAGCCCTCTTGATATGTCATTGCCTGTTGCTCCTTCACTCTCAGCCTGACCCTTTTGTTAATGAAAGGAGTTTAGGAATGAAAAGATGCAGAGGTGTGTGGTGTGGGGAGGGGAAGAGTGGGATAATAAAAGGGAGTGAAATCAAAAACGCCATTTTGGGATTTTTGTTTTCAAAACTTTGGGGGATTGGCGGTATACTTGGGTAAACTCTGCGCTCTGATTTTTGGTAATGGTTCTTTTTGTTTAAAAGGTTTTGGGGGCGTGAAGCGGGCTCCATAATTTTTAAAAGACTAAACTACATTAGATAATATCAAACTTTAGCCGTTATATTATTTATACTATTAAACTTTTAATTTTATAAATTATAACATTAAACTTTAATTTTCATTTCAATTATACAATTAGGTTATTAAATCATTAAAAATCATATCAATGCCACATTGTTTTGATGCGGTGTCTACGTCGATAGTTGTTAACTATGTCGACCGTCGTTAGTCACATCATCATATCATTAATGATTTAACGATTCAATGGTATAATTGAAACGAAAATTAAATTTTAATGTTATAATTGCTAAAATCAAAAGTTTAATTGTATAAACAATACAATATCTAAAGTTCGATGGTATTGATCTAATTTACCCTTTTTAAAATTTTGAAACTTGGCTAAAGGAAGGCCGTTGGATGTATCATATTAACTAGTGCGAGCTTAACCCATTGAAACATTCTACTAATATGATATATTGATGTATATGATTAATTAAATTATCTTTATTATAAAAAAGTAAATTATATTATTTAATTATTTAGTCATTTAAATTTTTTTATTGATATTTTAATTTTGTCAATTAAATCATCTAATTATTTAATTGTATTCAATCAAGTCACTTATCATTAATATTTAACGGGAGTGTTGACGTGACAATTAATAAATTTGATAGATCTATACATTTAATCTTCAATACTTATACATTCTACTAATATAGTCATATTTTAAATTTAATTCAATAAAATAACCATTTAATTGGATATACGTGTCAACACATGATCATGATACATGTGACCTTTGATTGGTTAGAAAATAAGTTGGATGTGAAATATGCATTTGTGGGGGGTTTAAGCATGGGTTCCAAAAGTATCAAGCGAAGTCTTTGCCGTTGAAGCAAATACCTCGTATAATTAATTATTTACATTAACTTCTATCTATTACATATATTATCAAGGATAAAAACAAAAAAATAAAAAATATTCAAATGATTTTTAACTTTAAATTATTTTAAATTTTAAAATAAAATAAACTCAGTTTCATATTTTTTTATTTTTAAACTAAATTTAATATTTTTATATTTTTAAACAAAATTTTATAAAAAAATAATATAAAAATTTTTTTTTATTTTTAAACAACATAAATTTAATATTTTATATGAGGATATGATAAAAATTATTTTATACTAATTAATTTTTTCATAAATTTTATTTAAAAATATAAAAAATATTTAATTTAATTTAAAAATATAAAATTATTAAGCTTATTTTATTTTAAAATTTAAAAAACATTTAAAGTTAAATACCATTTGAATATTTTTATTTTTTTTGTTTTAGTTTATTATAATTATATAAAGTTTAAATTTATTGAACCTTAAGTAGAGATTCCTACTTCAATGATAAAGCAACTGAACCTTAAATATATAGTACTTGATTATGGTCATGAATGTATATATTGCTTAATATCATATCTTCAACATGTTTATGAGACTCATAATGTTGCTCTAGATTAGCGATTATACTACTGGACTTTGTATGCTCATCGTTAGGATGTTTTCCATTCGCATGTTATTAGCGTGAGCCGTTCGAGGAGCATGTTGCAGTAGTACTTTCAACATCTCTTCCAGAGTATTGTATTATAGTTTTAGTGAGCATGTCTATTCTTAGAACCTTACTCATGTATTTGATTTATCATACTCCAAGTTTGTATTATTTTGGTTTTAAACAATATGTCACGAAACTCTGGTTTATAAAAGTGTTTTTATAACTATCATGTATATTTATTTTTGGTACTATGTAGTACATTTTGAAATGAAAATGAGCATATTTTGAAAATCATAGGTGCCTCAGCAACTCAATGTGGCACTTTAGGCCCATTCTGGTTTACGGTGTTACATGTAACATTGAGTTATTTGCTGTGACCACCACACGACTTCCCTTGTATTCTAAAAGATTATGTAGTTTTTATTTATAACAAGTTATTGTCGTGATAACCAACTCTCTCTCTCTTCTATTGCGAAGAATGCCTCTACATCCCATTCTTCTTCATTGTTGGAAGTAACAACATTACTCTCAACAGGTTTTTTTCTTCAACCAACAAACTTTTGCCATGTGACTTTTCTTCCAACAGTTGTAACACTTCCCTCTTCAAACCTTTTATTATTGTCATGGTTTTTTGGAACATCTTCTGTCAAGAGAGCTCCATTCTCCTTAATTTCTATTGAACATACCATTTCCACGTGCTTGAAATTTTGTTTCTATGCATCTTCTTCTTCTTTTCAACAAGACTCCCTCCATTTGTATAGCTAACATTAGGGGTGAGTATATCTTCAAAAAAAATATTAGGGGTGAGTAAAACTCAACTCGACTCGAAAAATCGATTTTTTTTTTTTTTAAATTTTGAGTTATTCAAGTTAACTTGAATTATCAATTATGTTTCCAATTTCGAGTCAAGTTGAAATTTGGAAATTTTGAGATACTCAAATAACCAAAAATTTGACTATGTATTTTGATAGTTTTACGATTTAGTCTATGATTTCATTATTCATTCGATTCCTCCTTCATTTTAAGTCTACTTTTAACCAAATTTGAAACACATGTTCCTAAACCAACGTAGAATACATATGTACTTTAATTTACTCATATTGATAACAATTTTTTTTAATTTAGTCCCTCAATTTTTCATAATTTCCTTATTTCTTCAATTCATCTTTTTTTAAGTATGTTATTTACCAAATTTGAACCACATGATCATATACCACTATAGAATACCTATGTAACTTTAATTATTATTTTTAAACTAAAAATATACTCTCTTTTTTTATTTAGATCCTTAACATTTCATTTTAATCAATTTGGTATTTGACTGCAATTGTTTACAATTTCTTTCTTCCCATTAATTCTTTGACTCTTTTATACACTTGTCAATATTTTACCCTCAAAATAAATAAAAATATAATATTATGAATATATTCTATAATTTTATATTTTATTTGATATATTAAATAACATTATAATGTGAAAAGTGTATAATATATATAGGCAAAAGTGTAACTTTTTCCCCTATAGTAGACCCAATTTATCACTTTTGCCCCTATCATATTTTCACATCAATCTAGCCCTTGAAATTGCTCAATTGCATCGTTCTATACATTACCCCTAACTTAAAACCCTAAATTGTAAACAATAACCCTAAACCATAACCACATAACCTCTAAACCATAAACCTTAAACCCTAATAATATAAGGTTTTAAGTTAGGGGTAGGGTATAAAATGATTCAATCAAATAACTTTGAGGGTTAAATTGATGCAAAAATACGATAGGGGCAAAAATAATAAATTAGTCTACTATAGGGGCAAAAGTGAGATGGGAAAAGGGGGAGAAGTTGGACGTAAAAAAAATCGACATTCTAAAATAAAATACAAAATGAGATAGAAATAAGGCTAATGAGATAGAAATAAGGAATCATAAATAGAGTTCAGGTTTGAATTCCATAGATAATATGATGGTATTGCCTATAATGAAAGACAAATGAAAGACACTCTCAAATTTTTTATTTATCCACTTCCTATTTTGAAAATAGGTTGGTTGAACTTAAAAATTCCTTCATTGAATAAAGAAACAAACCAATTGAAATTCAATTGGATGGTACCAACGAAATCGAGCGCTAACCTCTATCCCTAAACCATATATATATATTATATGATTAGATAAAGTCAAAATTTGGGAACCTATCCTTACCATAATACTATAAATAATTATAATAAAATTAGTATAGAAACTCAAATAACTTGACTCGAAAAAAATTTAAAGTTAAGTTTGAGTTGTAAAATACTTATTGTCAACTCGAATAACTCAAAATTTTTTGATTGACTTGACTCGACTCTATCGAATGCTCACCCCTAACTAACGTTTCTTGACTAGCTAACAAATTTTCAAATTCTACAAGTGATGGTTGATTTTGCCATCCTTGTATAGTAGTCACAAAACTCTTGAACTCTGGCTTTATACCATGGATAATGATATATTTCATCCTGGTATCACCATTAGGAGCCGCTGGGTTCAACTCAGAAATCTCTCGACATAACAACTTTACTTTGTGAAAGTATTGTTTGATTGTCATATTGCCTTGCTTTACAAACAACAACTCACCCTCCAGAAGTTGGAGCTTCATATCGTTCTTCTTAGAGAACAACTTAGTGAATATTTTTCAAGCTTCATTTGAGATTTTGGCACCATGAAATGTGTTCTAGCATAACTTCATCCACTGTTGTCTTTAGGTGAACATTGCTTTGCCTACTTTTATCTTTCATTTTGTTAGAATGCCATTTGCATCATCTACTTCTGGTTGCTCCACTTCATTGTCATTGACAATCACCTATAGGTTTTATCTTTACATAAATGACATTATGCAAGGTGACCATGTATTGTAGTTATCATTGTTAAGCTTCCTTATTCTGCTAACAACATGTAAGTTAGTCATATTATCAACAAAGGATTCTCAAAAAAATTAAATGAAATAGTGGAAGTAGTTTGTGAATAATGTACCAAGTAAGTTCCTAAGAAAGAGAAGTTGATCACACGGATCGCTTAAATATCAAGTCTTTCAAGTACTTTCCTAGAAAAGGGATAGATCCAAGACTAGGTTTATCTAGGCCATGGCCCACTATGCCCAAAAAAGAGTAAATTACTTATTGAGTCACTCATAAATTATTTACTTTTTTTGGTCATATAACTATTATTTATTTTAAATCA